ACCAACTCATTGGCACAGACAGGATGGCAAAACTACGGCACTGATTGTCAGATGCATAAAGGCATCAATAAAATAATGCTCCCACTCAAAAACTGTCTTATAAAACAAGAGAAGCTGCTTCTCTTGATTAAAAGGATTGCCTCTGGACATTAAACAACAGCATCTGTTCTTCACACTCTGAGCACCCTGAGTTTGCTTTGCTTTCTGTCCTTGAGGAGTTGGGGAGGAAGGAGGACAAGATAAGACAACTGAGACAGTTCAAGCTAGGAAGACTTCACAGCAGTTCTAAAGAGTATTTCCCAGGAACTCAGTGAGAGCAGAGGGAGCAAACTCCAATGCATTATTTAAGACTACCCCCACACAGCTGACCCTTTATAGATGCATATCAATAGAGCAGCCTCCACCAGAAAGAGGCTTCTTTATGAAAAAAAACTGAAATAGAACTCAGAGATGCTGAGAGGAAATAACACAGCCCAAGGGAATATCTGCATTCCATGGTACAATAAGGCAGACTCTGAGGGGTCAGCAGATGACAACGGAGGGAGGAGAGCAATTCACAGCTTGTTCATAGCACTCAGTCACCTCTAGGGCATAAAGCTCTGGCACAGAATCACCTTGTCGATAATCCATCACCTACACACTTGCGTGCCCTGTCACAGAGTCATATTTCATTAAATAATGGTTTTCTGTATTAAAATCCATTTCACAACATTGCATTGTTCTTTATGCCTTGCCTTACCCCGGTACCTGAAAGCCACTGCTGAGTGCCTGGTGCAGTGTCAGGCAAGGAGCCAGAGGAGTGCTACGCTTCGCAAGCTGTCTGTTGCACTTTGCTACATATGCTCAGGCTACTTCTCTGAACCATCATCCGGTCTTCTTCCTGATGGACACTTCAGCTGGTAGGCCTGGGAGTTTGGGATTGCCTTGGGGCTGTTTTGTACAGCCTCAGGTACAGTAGCTGATCGCAACATTTGGGGTTTTTTTTTACTCAAGGAGCATTCAGCTGTGCATTTTTACCTGCTTGTAAGAATTTTTCAGAGCAATTGGCAGATATTTTGTTTATCAAGAGAGAAAAAATATTCTTGAAGGTTTGTTGACATGCTGCGGATAAGGATAGATACAAACCCATATGTATATATATGCCTGTGTGTGCATGTGTAGATGTAGAGAGAGATGATTGATAGATTGACAGACAGTTCACGATACAATCACAATTCATTTTTTTATGTAGATACATATACACAGGTATAACATTCCCAGGCTTCCTAAGACAGACTGCAGATTCTAAATCTTAAAATATATCAATACATAGGAGAGTTAATTAGTAGAAAAGAGTAATCTTCTCCCCTTCCATTTGCCATTTTAATTCAGGGGTATTTTTTTCTTATTGTTTACACACCACTGCCTTTGTACTTTGATTACAGCTACCCAGTCTATCTCGTATTGGCCTTTTTAGCCCCCACGCTCTTGTAACAAACATGGGTAGAGCCCTTCCCAAATCTTCGTTCGCGAAGCCTAGCCATGATGATACAGCTACCCAGTAATAAAAATGACAACAAAACTGAGCCCATTTCATCTGTGGGATGATATTCATACTGTGTGCATTTCTGGCACATTGCAAAACATTGGGAATCCCTGGTCAGGTGTCATCAAGTGGAATGGAAAATATTCACCCAAGAGGTGTACTGTTAATCCAGCTGACTAAACGTGTGTTTTCCTCTACTGAATTTTCTGCTGGAAATTTTCCTATGACCTGATTTTTGCTTCCTGACCTGATGGGGTAGAGACAAACCTGCACAGTGTGAGAATACGGGAAGTCAGTGGCTGTAATTAACCATTCATGAACAACTCAAGACTGAAACCTGTCTACAGAGCTAAAAAGGTAAATTATCTGTAAATACTAACTTCCTTTCCTGCCATGATGGCCATATCCCGATCCAGATAAAAGAAAACTGGACCTATGTATGGAACCAGAAGCTTTTGCACATCTCTTGGTGTGACCACTGGTCTTGAGTGAGGTCAAGGTTTCCTGTTAGTATTTCACTCGTTGTCTCATTTCAGATACTTCAGTGGCCTTCAGAAAACCATTCACTCTCCCTTCATTCCCCCAACCATAAATAAGTGACAAAAGAAATAAGACTGGGTGCGGTAACTAAATATAGGAGAAGGTGTAAGTAGAAGGAACCTACAACCCTTTCCTTCCTCCTCCATCCCTTCCCCACCCTCTATGCCTGACCAGTCTGTACATAAATACATTTGCCTTTGCTGTTACCAGCTGTCCTTATGTGCATATACCCAGCACATATGGATAGAGTTATTATCAAGGCAGTCATATTCCTGAACAGCAATGATCATCACCGAAGTCAGCAGCTGGGGACTGTATTTTCATGAGACTTCTGCTTCTACCAATAATGACCTGCAAAAAACTCTCTGCTGGACCTCTCTCTAATGAAAAACAGAGTTTTCAGTGGAGACAGGCTAAAGAATTTTCACGTTATGCTGTGTTGTGCACACATATTACAAACAAACATGAAATCAAGTACACCTATGGGCCTATTGTTCCTGTCTCCAAACAAATCTCCTGTTTGAGAGGTCAGTCTGAACTGACCTATAGCAAAGACTGAAAGGTCAGTCTTTGCATTATCCATAAGGCTACTTTGCTGACTCCTACCTTTTTTTTTCACCTGTGTATCTGCTCGATGCTCCATCACCCTGGTTATGTGTGGACTTGGAGAGCCAGCAGTGGTCAGGGGTGAGCTCTGGCTGTGCCGGGTGCAGGTTTGTTTGTCTGTGAGGGCACCTTGGAGCTGCTCATTGCAAGGCAGCAGTCACAATTCTGAGTCCTGGAGGAAGGATAGACCTTTCCTTCAGGCAGAATTTTCAGACTGGAAACTCCTAATTCATCCTATAGAGAGGGAACTCTGATGCCTTCTAGGAATTATCTGGCAGAACAATCACCTCTAAGAAAGGACTTTTTGTTTGCTGTGAAAAATATAATTGGTCTGCCTTCTAATCCAAGTGTTGACAAGATGTTGACAGTTATACTTATCAAAAGACTCAGATGTTCTTTTCCCTTTTATAGTTCAAGCACCTTTTTACCAGGTTCAGGGCCTCAAAGCATTACATAATTACTCACCTCACTTCCGTTGTTTGCAATATCTCTTCATCAAGCAGTACAGTTTGTAGCATTTTTAAGAGAATCAATAAAAAAAGCAGCAAGGTTGCCTGATGCTTGTGAAGTTTTTGGTACAAATATGCAGGTAAAATGGAACTCTTTATGAAGATCTATCCACAGTCATATAATGTCTTTACATTTATTTCCTCACATTTACTTCCAGCAGCTCTGTTGCTTTCTTATTACTGAAGATCCACAATACCAACAATCCTCCTCCTTTCTTTTAGATTTCTTCTAATGACCACCAGCAAAGGGATTTTGCAAGTTAAAGTAATAGTGATGTAAGAATTTCTGTCAAATCCATGGGATGTATTTCTGTGCTTTTACTACAGTTCAAAGACAAAAAGTTTCCTGCTGTATTTCATATGTATACTACATTGGCTAATTGTAGCACAATTGATGCAAAAAAACCTCTGAAACAAAGTATGGTTTAAAGCATATAATCAGTAAAGCAGTAACCTCCAGATCTTCACATGCCTTGAAGGTCATTCCCTGCAGAGAGCAGAAAGCAACTGAAGTAACTGTAAAAGGCACTGTGATTTCTTTTTCCTGTGCAACAAATGAAAGAAAGTACTGCTCATCAGAAAGCAACCATTTCCTTGAGGGTAATCTGCATGGCTAAACCATGTTTTTCAGGTTTTAAAGGTTCCGCTTTAATGATCTCCTTAGTCCTTGACTGCCTTAAGGAGCCTGACCCATTCCTCTGTGGGTATTTTTTCTTGCATGCTGCACAAAAAAAAATCTGAGGAAGCCTTCATCGCTAATAAGAAAGAATTGACTGCTTCCAGAGGCTGGTTTAGGAGGTTTTGTAATAAATCACTTTGAATCACAGCCAGAGGTAATCGCAGGAGTGAAGATTATCTCCCTCTGACCATGTGTAAATTATTGTTTGCTTTCAGACGTTACAGTCCCTGCAACATCCAAGTATTCCTCCTATATCTTGGCCTTCAGCACTCCTGTTTTTAAATAGTCTTAAATAAAGTTATGGCAAAAAATATGGAAGCAGGCACACAGACACAACATTGGGAAGGATGGGGAGTATAAGTACAAGAAGAAACAATAGGAAAGAGACTGCGACGTGACTGAGAATTTGAACTTCAAACTGTCTGTCCACCTATGGGATCTGAATCACCACACAGAAATAAAAAAAATGTTCCCCTACCTCAGTGACCATCATAGTGGATTTTAGCCTCTGGTTTGCAACACCATGTATTACAAATAAAAGTTGAAACTAGACATGCCAGAATCTCTTATTACTTTGAGCTGGAAGTACAGTGCCACATCTATAGCTGGGCATGTCCTTTGCTTCCTCAGTTTATGTTCCTGCTAAAATAGATCAAGATGACTTCACTTGCCTTTTGCTTTGAGTCTCTTAAAGCATGTCATAAAGATAGGCCAGTAGCACTGCTTAATTGACCATCGATACTAGTATCAATACTAGCTGTAAATAACTCATCTTAGGTCAAATAGAAATGTTTTTTTTCAAATTCATATGAATTTCTTTTAATTTATTTCATTCAGTCCCCAAGTCCTTTAAGAGTTGTAGCAGAAAAGCAGGAAACATAGGGATTATGATAATGGTTCAGTGCCTCAAATTAATTTGGTCCACAATTCATTTGAGATTCCTTTACAGATTGTACCACTTTGTTATCCTTTAGCCTTTTACACAGATGGATGAAGGAGCTCAGAATGCAGAATAAAGAAGGAAGAGGTAGAAGGAAAACACCAAGTATATAATCAGAGCATGATATACAGTTGAAATCAGCAGAAATGTGATGCATAAGAAGAAGGGAGGATAAACACTAAGAAAAAAAAACCAGTAACAATGTGCAAGAAAAAAATCAATTTATTGTTCCATCTGTGTAGAATGAATTTGATCCAACGGTCTCAGAAGTCACAGTGAGAATTCTTATCTAACAAAGTCAGCTATAGCTCAGGCCACACGTCTGCCTTTTTACAGACAGTTTACAGAGTATGACCAGACATCTTTCTGCCATTATGAGTATACACACCTATCTCAGTGTATGTGAGAATATGTGTATTTCCACAGTTCCTTTGAAAGCCACAAAGATTAAATGCAGCCCTTTTGAACAATCAATAACAACAAGGCAATTAGGGGCTGAGTGGTCATACAGATACATGTACGTTTAAGGGTAAATCTGCCGAAGTACAAAAACTACAGGTTTAAATGTCACAAGAACCAGTTAGCACAGAAATCAACAGCAGCTGGAGTCTAATCCTGCATCATTCTATCACAGGCAGCTTTGCCAGTGATGCTCTGAGTGCAGGACTGGTGCCTGGCTACGGCCCACCTTTAAGTGGTGGAAAAAGAGGACTTAGGTAACAGTGAACGCTCTCCTCCACAGTCACAAACAATTGTTCTTCCTGCCCCTGTAATCTGTGCCATATTAACCACTTCTCACTGCAGTCTGTATTCTCAAATGGAGCCTCTCCACATGCCTATGTACTACATTAACCTTCAGCAGTTTCCTTCAAATACCTGTACTTGCCTGCAGGCCTGAAGAGGGCCCCTAAGCACCTTCCCCCCTTCTTACCATTTCCAGCGCTGCTACTGACACACCTGTTACAGCTGAAGATGAGGTTCTGAAGCCTGTAGCTGTTCCTCAAAGTACAGAAGCTGATCCACTTCAAAGCAATCGCTTGCTCTAGAAACCAGTTTCTCCAAATATCTCCTGATCTCCTCCTCACTGGCATTCTGCTGTCTCGCTTGCCTGAGATAGCTGTACACAGCCTCAAACACGTCCATTCCCAGCTTCCCAATGGCAGATCTGGGGATAGATATTGTACAGAAGGTCAAGTAAAAGTTAATACACATTATATTAATAATACAAGCAATAACTAGTACTGATTTTTTCTAAATGTTGTAGTTTTGATTAAAATGATATCATGATGCACCTTATTTGTCTGACAGTAAAAGCAACTAAAGTTTCCTGGAGAATTCCTCCATGATTGTTTGCTATACAAAGAGCTCAGGAGTAAAAACCTGGACATAGTAAAGTCATGGGAAGCATGGCCATCGTCACTGTTACAATCCAAGAATCTTTTCCATGCTGAGTCCGACATACTCTTTTATCTACAAAAAGTCTGGTATACATACATGTATCATTTCCTTTGGATTTCATCAAAACCAAAAAGGAGCAACCCCAGTCAGCTGAACACCAGTGGCATTTTATGTGAACACATTTTGGGATTCATTGCTTTATTTTAGCTTCTATCAAATACAAGAAAACCAATGTACAAGCTCAGCATGAGCTAACTGGCACTTATTTCTTTTCCTACAGTGCTCTCCTTTTATCAGAAAACAGATCTGTAATTCAGTGACAAAACATACACTCACAGTATCTTAATGTTGACTTATAAAGAAGACCCATTTGAAAACTGCAAGGCAATGAACATCGTTTCTTCCTTCTAAAGGAAAATGTCTTTAAATTCACGTATCACAGGCCACAGGTAACAAAATTTTTCACTCAGTGATGACTTCATAATATTTTGATGAAAATATCAGAGTAATTTTCCTTCAGCATATCAGAGACTATCTACCTACTCTGCACACTTCTGCCACAGGATTTGTGCTTGTTTTTTTCACTGAAGTTCTATATGTTAGAGCAATTGAGAGTTGGTTGTCTTTTAGTATCTGACTTGCACATTTTAGAGGTGATGATGCCTTCAATTAGTTAGAAAGTTAGCTGGACTAATTGGAATCACACTGCAGGAACATCTGCAATTTGCATTAAAAATGTCTTACTTTGGTTAGATAAACTTGTGCTAAGCAGCCTTTCCTCCCACTAGCATTTTTGCTAGGATTTCAAAAGTATTTAGGTGGGACAATCATTCCCTTTTCCTTCATGCCATGACAGAAGATCTGTCATGGCATGAAGACCTCTTCAATAAAGCTTCTCAGCAAATCTGAAGAAGGTTTCTCTGACAAATTTCTCTTCCAGATACTAAAATAATTGTATCTGAGATTCCCAAGTATTTCTCAAGCATTACACATGTAATTTTAGAACACCTGATGCCTTAACACTTTGCTTGGTAGTAATTCTTTCAGATGAAAAGGGAAGAGAACCATGTCATATGGTGCCTGCATTAGACTCCACAGCCAATGCCTGAGGGCAGCAGGGAGCTGGGACACACTCGGCTTGTGGCCATACCAAGGATTGCCCTTTCTGAACTATACAGCTATTGAGGTGTCTGCTGGTGCCAGCATTAAGGCTTAACACTTCAATACTCTCTCTGCACATTGGTTCAGAGGGAGGGGGCACAACACTTCCCATAGCAGTTTAAATGGTTAAACCTGCCTCCCAACATCATCACATACTCCAGTTGTAGTTTTTTGCTGGTTTTGTATTGATTTTGCTACATGTCTACCACCAGGGCAAGGTCAACTGTTCCAACAGCATAACCTACCCAAAGGGGTAGTTGTGATGCCTTTGAATTTTTAGGATTTTTAACTTTTTGTAGATTTTAATGTAGCTGTATAGTCTGTCACACTTTAGAATAGTAGTTAACACCCATCAAACCCTATTCCCCTATTTCATATTGAATTTTCTCCATTCTTTAGGCTTGTTTAGTCTCCTTTCAAGGCAGCACTATAGTAAACACATTCTGTTTAAGAACATATGCACCCCAGGCTTGAACAACAAGATACCATCATAATCAAAGCAACCTTCAAGCTTGGAACCTTGGAGAAGCTCCAAAGACCATATGTGTTGTGAAGAAGAGGAAGATGAGGAAGAAGAGGAAGAAAGGGGTCTTAGGACCTCCAACTCAATTTCAGGGGAGGCATGCAGGGGGCAGAGCTGAGGGCGAGTAGTTCCTGGATCAGACCACAAATTGTGGAACCCCTGGGCAGGGGTGCGTGCCTTTTTGTACTCCTTGTGCTAGAAGGCCTTCATTAAAGACCTGCTCTATATCTTATCTCTACTAAATCAGCCTGGTGAGGTTTTTTTTCTCCCCGATTCTGAAGCAACAGTTGCTTTTCATCAGTGGTCATCCTGTTACTGCTGAGGAATAACATCATCATAGTGAGATGGCAGCCAGTAAGAGTCCCACATTATGTATATTCCCCCATTCTTAGGAAACCATGACAATGAATTTTACTTTATTGCTTCTCAAACTTCTACTCCCATCCCACTTGCTCTTTCCTTTCCTTGCACCTTCTTCATGCCCAGGTGTGATCCCCCTTTGTCTTCACGTTACCCCTCCTGCTGGTTCCTGACACAGAGGCAGATCAGGAATTTGGGGCAAAGAAAGCCAAGACCCAGGATCAGAGGCCACAGGGCCAAGTTGGAATCTCTGCAGATTCAGACTTGACTCAGTGCTGCTTCCTGTAACTAGAAACTGCCTTTTTCTTTTTTACCAAGAGTGTTGCTTAGGGGAAAACTAAAACTCTTGGAAATAATTAATTCTCAGACACTGGAAGCTGAGGGATTGGATTACCACAAAAAGCTAAGTAGAGATTTGTTTGACAAATAATGTATATTTCTTCACAAAACATCATCAAAAATATCACAGTATTTCTCTCCAACAATTAAAAATCAATACATGAGAAGCTATTTTGAAATCACTGCTACTTCATCAGTGCCTTTACTGACTCTTCTCTCCGTCTTAGACAAGTGTGTTTAATTTTTTGTCACAGTTGTCTATTTGAAGATGAAAAATTAAGCAAATATGTACCTTAGGAGTATTGCTTCTGCCAATAAATGTGACCTGCAGACTTGAATCTTTTCAGTTCAGCTTGGGAGAGCATGCAATTCAGCTAATCTGTATAACAGCTGATACAACAGAATTATTGGGGAAATGTTCATAGGTTGAAAATTAAGGGGTAGGTAACAAAAATTACAACCTGCTTTTACAAAAGAAGACATTAGGCTCTGTTTGGACTTGAGAGCTGCATTAATATGACTCTTCTACCACATCATGCATTTTCTGTCACAGAGGCAGAAGTGTGGAGTCTAAGACAGTAAATGTCAAAGAGGTGTTACTGAGTGAATCTATCACCCTGATTGAGGGAAGGTGGAAATCACTTCCTGGAAAGCAAAGTTTGTCCATTATGGCCCTGATCCCTTGCTAGGGGATATTTGTCCATCCATGTGAAGTCCTACAGAGGTACAATTATGGATTTTGCACTGCCCTTCTGTTTATAGTTGGTTTGATTTCACATAAAATACAGGACACCTGCACTACTGTTTTGAAATGAATAGAAGTCAAATCACCAAATGTGCTGTGAGAGCAAGTACAGAATTCCCATTTATACTCCCATTTGGCCATCCATGTTTTCTGATTTACTGACATTTACTCTGTACTATCTTATAGCTCCCTCACCTACAAACACACTATGAATCATCATCTCTTTCTCAGCCTAGACAACACAAGCAAAGGGGATATCTAGGATTTCATTACAGTGACCAACTTTGTGGCCCAAACCCCCATCCCAAACTGCCCTAAATTGTTTTTCAGTGTGCTGAAATCAAAGGAGTTACATCGGGCTCTACCATTAAAGGGTCTGACCCAGGATGATACACACTAATGTGTTTAAATGTCATATCTCAGATTGGTTTTTCTCGTTTCACTGGTTTACAGAGGCTTACATAGACGGAGAGATTCATTGAGCACAACTTTTCTCACTCCTTTTGGCTGTAGAGAGCAGTCTCAATGCTCCAGATAGAGGAGGCACAGGGCTGGGGACCTCCACAGCCTGGAGACATGGTGTGACCACCAACTTGTGGCTGCATAGCAGATATTGCCAGTCTGGGGACACTGCCATGCATGGAAGCTGTGGTCTGAAAAATAATGCCTCTTGTTGCCAGCTTTTGTGCAGCACACAACCCACGCCTGAGAAAATTAACTGGAACAAGCCCAAAGGCCATAGAAGCAGACAGATATCTCATTTGTGGATAATAATGGGGTTTGGACATGAGATAGAGACGTGGTTCTATCAAGGATAAGGCACTTCTGAGCATGTGAGAAGCAGTAAGAATATCAGCAAAAGGGCACTTACTACTTCGACTCACTGCTGGCATTAGAGGGGAGCTAAATAAGAGCCTTGAGAACTGCAATTTTATACTCAGGGTGTCTAAAAGTGTTCCAAGGAATTTAGTGCATCTGGGCCCAAATGAATTTGTCAGGCTATCTGGTGATTTGCAGCTGATTTCCTATGCATCACTGCAAAAATTACTAAAATTTGACAATACAATAATGTTGTGTTCTCAACTGGCTGAGGAAGTTGTAAATCTTTCCCTAGGTGAACAAAGAATTTTCTATTATCCCATGGGTCTTTATTTTGACTATTCTGCTACCAGCTACATATTAACATTTCCTTTCTGGTTTGGAGATCAATTACAATGCACGTACCTTTATGCAGCACTGACAAAAGCCACAAAACAAGATTAATGCTTACATTTGTGCTCCTCCATGGGCATTAGCAGCCAGGTTAATATCTCTCAACAGCTTGTCATTGCTTGCCTTGAAGGATGAATATGACACAAATCAGAAGCTAGAGGGGTTTTCAGCTTCTCATTTTCAAATGTCATTCAGCATGATGGCAACTCATTTAAAACCATCCTGCTCTCCCTCATGCACTCCCAAAGGGAAGTGTCACTCTTTGCTCGAAAACACCCAGTTTTCACTAGTGCCTCCAGGGAGCTGTGTTGTGGTCTGTGCTTGGGAGCAAGGAGAGGCTCTGTAGGTGCCGAGTCACCACGCTCTGCACAAGTCACTACTGAACACGCCAGAGTAATACCATGAAAGCCCCTCTGGATCAGGCATC